ATGGGTTGGATGGTTGGAGGGGACATGGGGGATGGGTTGGATGGTTGGAGGGGACATGGGGGATGGGTTGGATGGTTGGAGGGGACATGGGTTGGATGGTTGGAGAGGACATGGGGGATGGGTTGGATGGCTGGAGGGGACATGGGGGATAGGTTGGATGGTTGGAGGGGACATGGGGGATGGGTTGGATGGTTGGAGGGGACATGGGGGATGGGTTGGATGGTTGGAGGGGACATGGGGGATGGGTTGGATGGTTGGAGGGGACATGGGGGATGGGTTGGATGGTTGGAGGGGACATGGGGGATGGGTTGGATGGTTGGAGGGGACATGGGGGATGGGTTGGATGGTTGGAGGGGACATGGGGGATGGGTTGGATGGTTGGAGGGGACATGGGGGATGGGTTGGATGGTTGGAGGGGACATGGGGGATGGGTTGGATGGTTGGAGGGGACATGGGGATGGGTTGGATGGATGGAGGGGACATAGGGGATGGGTTGGATGGTTGTACGGAGCTGGGATCTGATTGGCTCTCTGGTACAGTTGGTATAAGTCTGTCCTCTGTTTAGTGCTATAAGAGCTCCAAGGATCACAATCCTCTGCTGGACGTCTGTCTCCTCGGCTGCACCGTCACCCACAAAGAGAAACAAGTGCGGAAGAAGGAGCACAAGCTGAAAATCACTCCGACCAACACCGATGTCATTGTGCTGGGGATGCAGAGCAAAGACCAGGCCATGCAATGGCTGAAGGTAAGCAGAGACCCTCAGATCCCCCATCCCCCCCATATCGTGTTCTGTATATCTGGAGGGCAGGGATGTCACTGGAGGGCGGGGATGTCACTGGAGGGCGGGGATGTCACTGGAGGGCGGTGATGTCACTGGAGGGGCGGTTTTGTCACCGGGTGCGGTGATGTCACTGGGGGGTGGTGATGTCCCTGGAGGGGCGGTGATGTCCCTGGAGGGGCGGTGATGTCACTGGAGGGCTGTGATGTCACTGGGGGGTGGTGATGTCCCTGGAGGGGCGGTGATGTCCCTGGAGGGGCGGTGATGTCACTGGAGGGCTGTGATGTCACTGGAGGGCAGTGATGTCACTGGAGGGCGGTGATGTTACTGGAGGGCTGTGATGTCACTGGAGGGGCGGTTTTGTCACCGGGGGCGGTGATGTCACTGGGGGGTGGTGATGTCACTGGAGGGCGGTGATGTCACTGGAGGGCGG